GCTTTTATCTCTTAGCAGCTTCTTTACAAACTAGAAATATTCTGAGGGTGAGGTCCTGGTGCAATCTGTGTTTGAAATCTGGGGGAAGGGTGGCAAAAAGGAAAGAAAAAGAGGGAGAATGAATACAGATTAATTTCTCAATAACATGTAACATCGTCTGTCTCATGTACCAGTAGGCATTCTTAGCACCCTCTCTGTGTGGGCACCACCCTGAGCACTTTGCATGCACCGCTTGCTCAGGCTTTGGCTTCAGAGGGTCCCCTTAAGTATTCAGCAGAGTACTGATATGAGCATGTATGTGAGGAAACCACCAAAGACGTGGAAAAGAACCACTCAAAAGGATGAGGAGTTACAATGCACAGAGCTTACACAGACCAAGAATAGTGTCTGTTCCCACCAGCTGGAATGGCAAACCTAGTGATTCAAAGGACATTGAGTAGAGCACACAGAAGGGTCTTGCCTTAAGAGTAGTGAAGAATTAGCATAGACGTGCATTGCTCCAGTCCCTCCAGTCCTGCCTAACAAATCTCAAGAGCAAGATGTGAAAGTATCAAATTGTTTCCAAATAATGCAACTGCATCCCAGAACAAACCTCAAGAATATTTAAGGGAATACAAAAATATCTAACACCAAAAAAATGTAAAACGTCTGGAATCCAATGAAAAATTACGAGACATACAAAGAAGCAGGAATATATGGCTCATAATGAATAGGTAATTCAATCAATGGAAACTAAGAAATAAGAATTAGCAGATAAGAACACTAAAATGTAAATACAACTTTATATGTTCAAAAAACTAAGTAGAGGCATGTAAAATATAAAAATGGCCAAAATAAAAATCCTACAGATGAAAACTGTAATGTGTGAGATGAAAAATGCAGTGGCTGGGATTATTAGCAAATTAGACTATACATATATAGAGATAGATAGATAGATGGATTATAAGAGAGGCAAGATAGGTAGGGATAAATAAAATATTGGAAGAAATAATGATCAAAAATTTTCCAAATTTTGTGAAAACTATACTCACAGATCCAAGAAACTCAAGTAGCCACAAGTATGAGAAACATAAATAAAATTATACCAAGTCACGTAATAATATAATAGCTCAAACCCAGGGATATAAAGAAAATGTGAAAAGTAGCCAGAGTAAAAAAGATACATTAGGTACAGAAAAACAGAGATAAGGGTAACAATCAATTTTTCATCAGAAACAATGCAAGTGAGAAGAGAGTGGAACAAAATCTTTGGAGGACTGAAAGAAAAAAAAGCTGTCAACCTAGTATTCTATAGCCAACAAAAATATCTTTTACGAATCTAGGCCAAAAAAAGGCATCTTCAGACATACAAAAGTTGAAAGACTTTATCACCGACAGACTCATTATAAGAAATGCTGAAGGATATTCTTCAGTAGAAGTAAAATGATAACAAATTGATATCTGGATCAGTAGAAAAGAATTAAGAACACTGAAATAGTAACTACAGGGGTAAATATATAATATAAATTTATTATTTAAATCTCTTTAAAAGACAACTGACTGCTTAAACAAAAATAATACAGGCAGTGTCTGGATTACAAACAAGCTCCGTTCCTAAATCTGTCTTTAAGTCAAATTCGCAGGTAAATCAGAACAGTTAGGTACAGTCCATATCTAACGTCTGTTAGTTAAGTGTTTGTCTCAGTATATAGTATACAGTGTACCTTTCTATGTATAAAAAACATTAAAGAAACACTTGCAGATATACTAAAACATCTTTCACATAATAATACAGTAATAATAATGTTTTGATGCACTTTGCAAGGTAGCACTCATTTGCTATCAGGAACCATTGTAGTACCTCACATTTTTGGTATAATAGGCTTTACAGGGGTTGGTTGGTAACTATGGGTTGTATGTGAGTTGGACGATCATACTCGGTCCAACAATATAATGTGAGATTTAAAATATATGTAAAGTAAAACCTATGAAAACAAATGGCCAAAGGTTGGGAGAAAAGAAATGGAAATATGCTATCAAAAGGTCTTAAAATATCCATGCAATAATACCACTTAAAGATAAATTGTGATAAAATAAAGATATATAATATTAACTCTAGAGCAATCACTAAAATAATAAAACAACAATATAGCTAACAAGTGAAAAAATGATATTAAACAGAATTATGAAAAATTAATGGAAAAAAAGACAGGGAAAGAGAAAAAGGAAATAAAAGACAAATAGAAAACAAAGAGGAAGATAACAAATTTAAACGTAACCACGTTGTTGTTAGGTGCCATCGAGTAGGCTCCAACTCATAGCGACCTTATGGACAAAAGAATGAAACACTGCCCAGTCCTGCGCCATCCTCACAATTGTTGCTGTTTGAGCCCATTGTTGCAGCCACTGTGTCAAACCATCTCCTTGAGGGTCTTTCTCTTTTATGCTGACCCTCTACTTACCAAGCATGATGTGCTTCTCCAGAGACTGGTCCCTCCCGATACCACGTCCAAAATATGTGAGACGAAGTCTCTAAGGAGTGTTGCCTCTAAGGAACATTCTGGCTATACTTCTTCTAAGACAGATTTGTATGTTCTTCTGGCAGTCCATGGTATATTCAATATTCTTAGCCAACATCATAATTCAAAGGCATCAATTCTTCTTCAGTCTTCCTTATTCACTGTCCAGCTTTTGCATGAATATGAATAATCCATTAAATGTTAATGACTTAAACAGCCTGATTAAAAGGCAGAGATTGTAAAAAAGCAAGACCCAACAACATTCCGCCTATAAGAAAACCACTTTAAATTTAAAGACACAAATAATTTAAAAGTAAAAGAATAGAAAAAATTATAAAGAGTTTAGATAACATAAATCTAAAGAAAGTTCGAGTGGCTATATTAATATCAAAGCAGATGTCAGTAGATGAAAATGGTGTAGGACTGGACGACATTTTGTGCTGTTATACATAAGACTGTTGTGAGTTGGAGACTGGAAGGAGGCACCTAACAACAACAGCAAAAGACGTCAGCAGCAAGGATGATACCAGGAATAATAAAAGTCATATCATAATGATAATTCAACAAAAAGTCTTGAAAATCCTGAACACTTATGTATCTATTAACAAAGCGAAATACAGGAAGCAAAAAACTGATAGACCGACAGGAAGAAATAAACATGCAAAATTATAGTTCTAGATTTCAGTATCCCCTGCCAATAATTGATAGAAGACAGAAAATCAATAACAACACCATCAACTAATTCAACCTAATAAATATTTATAAAGAACTTGACCCAACCACAACAGAAATGCACATGGAACATTTACAAAGACAGACCATATTCTGAGCCATTTAGTACTCTCAGTAAATTTAAAATGATTCAAGTAATACAAAGTATCTTCAATATTTAATACCTCATACTGTTATTTGTGAATATCTTTTATTTTAAAGAAATCTTCAAAACTATAGCATAAACTATGCTGAAATTGTTTTTTTGTTTTTTTTTAATTTTGCTTGAAAATCTACATTCAATGGCCAATATATTGCAACAGGTCTGACAATAACAACGAAAAAGAGTTGCTTGGCCTGAGTAAAGCTGCTCTCTGATTATTTAATATCCACTTGTATGTAGTTGTCTCTCTTCATCCCCAAACATTGATACAGAAGCAGTATAGTAGTGAATAGCCGAAAGACTGAAATTGGAGGACCTGGGTCTAGCCCCAGTTCCACCACATGCTAGCTCCAACCTTGGACAATATTCCCAAACTCTCTGTCCCTGTTTCCTCAAACAGTACCAGTTTACTAGTTGTTGTTGGGTAGATTCTGATTCATGGAGACCCCCCTGTGTGTCAGAGTAGAACTGTGCTCCGTAGGATATTCATTGGCTGATTTTTTGGAAGTAGATCATCAGGCCTTTCTTCCAAGCACCTGTGGGTGGATTTGAGTTAGCAGCCAAGCATGTTAACTGTCTGCACCACCCAGGAACTCCTCAGACAGTGCCAGAAAACCAAACCCACTCTCATGGAGTCAATTCCAACTCATAGTGACCCTACAGGACAAAGTAGAACTGCCCCATAGGGTTCCCATGACTGTAACCATTACGGAAGCACAGTGCCACATCTTTCTTCCAGGGAGCAGCTGGTAGGTTCAAACTGCCAAACAGTACAGAGGGATGATATTCATGTGATTATTACGTGGATTAATCAAGGTAATTAGGTAAAGTCCTTAGCCTAGAGCCCAGCACATAGTGAGTACTCAAAAAACAAGCACTACTTTTGACTTACAAAAATTTTAGGTCAGGGTCCAATGACTATAATTATCCTATTACATAGCAACATGACTACAATGCATCCTAGCAAGAGTGAAATACTTAAAAACTATTACTTAAGCAAAAGGAATATTTCTTGGAAAGGCAAAGATGGTCTAAAAAGAATATCATTAAAGTGAAAAGACTTAGTTTAAATTCCAACTTTGCCATGTTAATTAAATAACCAATTTTGGTTGGTTATTTAATATTCTACTGTCCATTTCATAATCTGTAAAATGGAGATGGCCTGTATCTAACGATGCTTGGGAAGTACTTAATGAGGGATTAAATCAAAGATACTGTCTACAACAGCATTTTCTGTACCTTTATCTGTCTAATAGCATAGGATCCCTTTTACTTTGAGGAAAAACCATAAAATTAAGTCATGTTTCTCAATATGTCAGTTACTAATCTTCAAATATTTCTAACGACAGACCAATGAAGCTAATGGGCTCTCCAGGGCATTGGTTGCATTAAAACCTGAACTGCATAGTTTAATCCTCACAAGGATTCTTCCCCCACCCCCACTCCATGTCCACTTCAATTAGAGGCCCCATGAGAACCTTATATTCACTTTAGAAAACCAGTGATGAAAAACTCGATGCCACTGACCATTACAGCATATCTTGAAGTTTGCTTTTTTTATTTTCAAGCAAAACGCCATTGTCCTTGATGTTTCTAGTCCTTTAAAGATTACTCTATTCATTCCACAGGTCCCCTGTTATGGCTGGAGGTCTCTTTGCTGTGGATCGAAAATGGTTTTGGGAGTTGGGTGGCTATGACCCAGGTTTAGAAATCTGGGGCGGAGAACAGTACGAAATCTCTTTTAAGGTAAGCCAGCAAGCCCCCTCACACTATGTCTA